ATGGGTCATCCCAAGCTTTACATGTTCTAGCCTTATCAATGATTTTCCATTTAACTTTTGGTGTTCTATTTGTTTCCTTCAGGTGCCAAAATTATTTTGATAGTGAAGTCTGATTTCTTTTGTTTATATTATTAAAGGAGCACTTATGCTGCCTTCATCTATCTTTAAAATTATTCTTCGTGGACCCAATGTATATCATATTAGTGCTAGGGCTCTCTGTGGATGAAATAGTACATTGGTATACCACAGAATTAATACAACATTTATTTTCTAATGGGCAGTCTTCTAGGTTTCTACAGTTACATAATTTTTCCCTTTTATCGTCTGGTTTAAGTGCAGAGTTTTTATTAATACTGTTTTGGCATGGGAGTTTGTTCAAGATCTTATTATTGTGTTTTTTTATTATACGTTCAAGATTATCAGAGAAGCTGTAACTCAATTTTGGGGTGTTCTTATTGAATATATTACTAAGCTTACTATTGGTGGGGAAGTGTTTATCAATTAGAGCTAAGAATTTCTGTCCTAGTTTAATACTAACCCTTTGGTTGAACGGAGGGGTGTACCAAATGATATTTCTTTTCCTGTTTTTGTTTCTATGGCCAGTGTAATTTTCTCTATAGTTAATGTTAGCATTTTTATAACCACTATTTTTTAGGGCAGTGTTATAGAAGCCATTGTTTTATTGGAATATTTCGTTGTTTGCGGAGTTAATGCTAATTCTATTTTCTATTGATGAGGGTATATGTTAAATTAGTGATGGGGGATGTTTTGACTTCGGGTGTATGTATAAAGGATTAGCATTTGGTTTTCTATAAGGTTGGAATGTATTGCCTGGTAAGTCTAGAGTTACGTCGAGGAAGTTAACCCTTTTCAAATTAGAAGAGACAGTAATCTTTAAGTATAGTTTCTTAAATTCACTAAATATAATTTTTCTGATTTTTTCAATCTTAAAACTAGTAGAACTCCTCACCACCATGAGCCCGTCATCTCTATACGGCCCGATGTCCTTAATATCAATTTCGCGGTGTGCCGTTAAGTTGTACAGTATAAGGAGACCAACGAGGTCAGAAGACTCTGCAGAGTCTAACGATCCCATAGTGATGTCAAACATGTCGTTATTGTTTTTTATCCATTGGTCCCCATTATGAACGAGGACCGATTTCTTTGCGCTGAGGATTATATCCATTTCTTCCTTTGTTAGGTTAGAATACACAGCAGCGAAGTCCAGGGCAGTCATAAATATATCCTTTAAAATTGATGGGTAGTAATCCACGATATCGAACTGAATAAGGGTGCAATTCCGTTTATCATCAATATAGTTAAACCAATTGATAACATCTTTAGTGTTGATCCATAATTTTAATTCCAGTTGTTTTTTTATTTGGCAGGTAATTTTTTCCAGGATCCTTTTGCTGATCTTTCCTATGTCGGGTCGGGTAGGGTTAATTATTCTGGTCGCAGGGTGTTCTAAAAAGCCAGGCTTATGATCCTTAAGAGTTATATAACATTCTTTTTCAGTAAGTTTACCTACTCTATCGCTGATTTTTAATTTATCAGTTATTTTTTTACTAGTTTTGTTTATGCTATCAACCATATTAATGTTGTTGTTGCAAGCTTTTTTATAAGTCCTGGTTAAGTTTTTTTTAATTAAGTTGTTGTAGTCGTCGACAGCCAATTTGTAGAAGTTGCCGGTTTTGTCAGACTTAACTAATATTTTGTCACAATCATTAATGCTTTTAACTATTTGGTCTAGATGTTTTTGGAAGTGGTTTTTATTTTTTTGAAAGGAGATGTTGTTGATAATGTTGAGTAGGTCTTTTTCAAATTCATATAGCTGTTTGTTGAATGGGGCAACTTTTTTACTTTTAAAGCCTTAAACTTCGTGTTCTTTATCGGTAGAGTTATTCCCACTAAAATAGAAGTATGCCTTCCATCTCATCCTTCTAATTAATTCCTCTGTTTTTTGTAAAAGCTTAACAAAATAATTCCGTTTGTTTGTTAGTGGAATATTTTTAAGAGAAATCCCGAAATTGATTTTTTCCATATTTTTAAAGGAGTATTTTAAAAATAAAGGTTTAGAGTGCTCAACCTTAATTAGGGAGCCAATATGTGAAAATATATAGAAAATAGGAAGGAACCGGTTAGGTAAATAATCCAAAGTCCCTTAGTATTTTAGTTATTATTTTTTAAAAATAGTGCTCGATACAAAAGTAGAGCAAAAATATAATTATTTATTTAAAAATAGGATTCCAAATCGATACATAAGAGGTCTCATGTTTCAAAACAAGAGCCGAAAACTTCAATATAATCCTTTAAATTAAATTGAGTTTAAATTAAAATGGGCTCCGTTCCATCTTCAAGCGAAATTTTTGTTGGAATAACGTATATCTGAAATTTACTTGTTTTAAAAATTGAAATCAAAATCTCCATGGTAACAGCAAGGGCGAATTGTTTAAATTGGGTAGGCGAGTGTAGGGTGTTAATAATCAGTAGCGGTATAGAGATACTTTCAAGATGTCAAGTCGGAGAAAGGTGGGGGTGTCTAAAATGAAACGGAAGATGTATTAACCTTCGTCTAGTTTGTTTGTCTATGGAGATTTATTTATTTATTTTATTTTATTTTATTATTGACAAGGCTAGAATATGTAAAGTTTGGGATGACCCATGCCCTTTGTGCCTCCATGAAAAATTGCACATCATTAAACTTCTAAATAATAATAATCTATTAAATAATAGACACGAGTTAACGGTTTTTTGTAGGCATCATCAGATTTTTGGTTTGAATTATTAGATAAAAAAAATTTATATAACTTGTTTAACAAATAGCCCAATCATCAGATTCATAGTAGGAATAATTAACTACAAACATGCATACTACATAACACACTTCATAATCCATAGCCTAAATTAGTAGTTTAAATACCTTACATATAAGATAACCCTTTATGAAGTCGTCAAAAAACAAACGTTACGAAAGTTTTTCTTTTTTTTTTTTTTTTTTATATGCACAATTCCCTTTCATAATAAAATAAAATAAAATAAATAAATAAATCTCCATAGACAAGCAAACTAGACGATGGCCAATACATCTTCCGTTTCATTTTTGACACCCCCACCTTTCCCCGACTTGACACCTTGAAAGTATTATTAACACCCTACACTCGCCTACCCAATTTAGACAATTCACCATAGGTGTTACCATGGGGATTTTGATTTCAATTTTAAAACAAGTAAATTTCAGACATACGTTATTCCAACAAAAATTTCGCTTGAGGATGGAACGGAGCCCATTTTTTTTTTCAACTCAATTTAATTTAAAGGATTATATTGAAGTTTTCGGCTCTAGTTTTGAAACATGAGACCTCTTATGTAGCGATTTGGAATCATATTTTTAAATAAATAATTATATTTATGCTCTACTTTTGTATCGAGTACTATTTTTTAAAAATAATAACTAAAATACTAAGGGACTTTGGATTATTTACCTAACCAGTTCCTTCCTATATATTTTCACATATATATATATATATATATATATTGTGTATGCGTTATTTTTTATAGATACAAATATTTAAGTAAATGCTCTATAATAAACAGTATTAACAACATTTACTGGCCTGAATGGCCGAGAAATTACATAGAAAATGTGTACTCTAATAGGAATCGAACCTGTGTCCTACACGGAACCGTCATATGACGTGCTATGCCATTTAACTACAGGTTCAAATTTCCCATGTAACTAAATGATATAACATGTCAGGCTATATGACGGTTACGTGATGGATACATGTTCAATTCCTGTCGGAGGAACATATTTTCCATGAAATTTCTCGAACATTCAGGTTGGTAAATGTTGTTAATAGTGTTTATTATAAACAGAGTATTTAATTAAATATTTGTATCTATGAAAATAACGTATAAACAGAAAATTTGTTTCTATATTAAACAGCATATTTATTTATTTTCATCTACCGGCCTGAATATTGGAGAAAGCATATTAGAAAATCTGCGCTCTCTCGGCCATGAAGAATCTCGAGATCAAGCAAAACACAAATAATGCTTTTGAACATAAACCTTTCTGATTCACGAAATATACATATCTGCTCAGTTTCCTAACGTAAACAATGACAATTTTTAGGAATGAATTTTTCATGTATTAATCCGACATATTTTAATTTATTACTTAAATGTTATTTTTAATGGATACCCATATGTGAGAAGATGCTCTGTATATATTAAACAGTATATTTACTTATTTCCATTTATCGGCCTGAATATTCGAAAAAGCTTATGAAAAAAATATGAACGTACGTCAAATATGGGTATCCATTAAAATAACGTTTAAGCAACCAATTAAAATATTCCGTAAACTACATCTGGCAACAAGGCTTCTGATCGGAAGGTTTGGGGGAGTGTGGAATCACTACTTAATTGCTGGTGTTCCTAGGTCTACCCTGACACCTGTTAGATACCCAGGTATGGGCAAATAGTGAACATCCAAACTGGGGTCAAAACACTATGAAAGTATAAACATGGATTTTTTACAGCAATGCATTTCTGAAAAAAACAATATTACTAGCCATACATTTTTGGAAAAGAATAAAAAATATTACCAGCAATAGATTTGACTCTCTACAGAAACCCTCTTTGCAAAAATACATCAATGAAACGTACAAACTGATTTCTTCCAAGGAATACATATTCTATATGAACCTATCCTAAAAAAAATCTTGTCGGTAATAAATAATCCATTGGGGTGTTGATATGCCGTAAAATAAAATAAAGAAAATAAAACAAATCTAAATATTTCGGATTAATAAATAAAAAAATTCATTCCTAAATATGTGTGTGTGTGCGTGCATGTGTGTGTGCGTGTTTGTGTTTCTATGTGTGTATCAAGTTATGTGCATGTCATTACACTTGACATATGCAACCAGATTTACCACTTTAACTGACTCTCTGTGATAAAAAATAATTAAATACATTATTATTATACCAAGTCTGATTTTCAATCTCTCTCTCTCTCTCTCTCTCTCTCTCTCTCTCTCTCACTCTCTTTCTTTCTTTCTTTCTCTGTGTATTAATGTGTGTGAGAGAGAGAGAGCACGCTCGTATTTGCTTGTATGTGCGCGGCCAGTAAAATTGATTCGTGCAAAAATCTGCAAAACTAATGCAAACATGTGAAACATTTCTTTTTATCAACCCAGCAGAATTGAAGCTACCACAAACAGCTGCTTAAAAGTAATAAAACTACCACCACCTCCTCCTCCTCCTCCTCCTCCTCTGTTGTTGAGGCTATTCATATTTAGGTTTTGTATAAAGCTTCCATTGCGTTCAAATCCTGAATGGCGTAAACGATTCTTTATTAATCCTTCAACAAATGCAATCAGAAATATTTTCATCCTCATCACATTCATATAGACAAACATGGTTCTAAAGTATTACTGATGATGATGATGATCATCATCATCATCATGTCAGACATGCTAGTCAGTATTAGTAGTAGTAGTAGTAGTAGCAGCATTTGCATTTAAAGGGACATGCACTGGGAATCAAGTGACAGCAAGACTCCTTAATTTTCTCGTTGTAATGGTGTTGTTTGGATTGTTTCGATTTTTCCTTGATTTTCATGTTTTTCCAAACGTTTTGCGATGCAGTTTTGAATCTCCCCAGTAACTATAGCCACAACTGTCCCCTTTATGGTCCACAATGTTTTTATTTCTCTTACAAGATCGACATATTTGACCCGTTTTTACGTTCTCTCAATTTCATTCTCTCGTCGATTCGAACATGACAAGTTTTCTTTTCCCTTTTTAAGATAAATCTGGTTTGCTACCTTGAATTGGTTCTTCAGATTGAATCTCAAAGTCCTAAAGACTTCAATAGACACGCACATACAAGACACAAACACAGAAGGCACGCACACACAAGGCACAAACACACGAGGCACGCACACACAAACAAGATAGAAACAGACAGACAGACACACTTGTCATTAAAACCAACGAAATGTTTTAACTTATTTCTCTATATTAAATCTCTAAATTAATTAGAAATTTGCAAAATAAATTTTATTTATGAGCCACCCTCTCATATGGCAAATTAGGATCACTACAGTTTTAAAAGTTTTAAAGATTTGAGAATCATTTTTATGAGATAAAAGTCCGAGAGAATCTGTCTTCAGGGCGAGTCTATAGCGTGAAAATTTAAATTTATTTATTTGACCAATCAGGGAAACTCATTTTGTTTCTTTGTTTGTCTATTTCCTTTCTTCTTCTTGAAAACATCTTCACTCTCCTTAAATTTTTTTGTTTCTTCGTTCTTACTTTTTTTTTTTTCTCCCTCACTTTCTGAACTCTTCTCATCTTCTAGTTATTGTTCTTGTCCTTCTCCATCCCTCTTCGGTATAATCTTTCTTGAGCTCGGTTTCCTTTTCTTATCTTAATTTACTCGATCTTCATTCATCATCACCATCATTATCATCATCATTCTCTACTTTTTCCTAGTCATTCATTTCTTCTTCTTTTTGGCCAACATATATCAATTTTCACCCATTTTCTTTTTCCATCTTTGTATTCGACCACAATTTTCTTCGTTGTTTTCTTTTTCTTCCCCCTTTTCTTTCTCTTCGTCGTTTTCTTTTTCTTCACTCTTTCCTTTTCTTCACTCTTTCCTTTTCTTCACTCTTATTTTCTTCAACCTTTTCTTTTTTCACCGTTTTTCTTTTCTTCCTCTCTTCTTTTCTTTCATCGTTTTCTTATTCATAAGCTTTTTCTTCTTCGCTTTCTTTTTCTTCACCCTTTTCTTTTCTTCGCCATTTTCTCTTTCTTCGTCTTTTTTCCTCTTTTAATACTTTATCTGCCACATTCCATCAAAGAAATAAGCTATTTGCAATATCAATTCAAGACACCACACACTCTGTCCACTGTTTGCTTATCTTTCTAAATTCTCTCCACCCAAAACCGTTTTTTTTTTTTTCCTTTCTTTCATCCCCACGGTGACACGCCTGTACACAACAAGTTGAAACCGTCTTTACAGCCACTATTTTTTTGTAACTCGTTATTTCTTTTATTTATTGTTCTCTGCTGAAAAACACATCAGAGATTGCAAAAACAAAAAAAGACAAGGACAAAACTATTGCGACCGGCCATCTTACAAGAAAGAGCTGAGAAGAGAACGGAAGATGTTTCAAAAAATAGAGACGCTTTGCATAAGCAAAAATGAAGAAATATATAACCTATCAAAATGAGGCATTTGGTGTCGTTCAGCTTCGCAAGTTGCGAACGCCATTTTAGCTACAGTCAATGGGCTGTCATTATTTTCCTGTCAATGCTACAAAAAAAAACTTTCTTTCGAACGTGTCCCTTGCCTTTGAGATATTGTTCGTTAGCAAACGTCCGATTCAGATGGACAATGACCAGAATTCTTTGAGCCAAATCAAAAAGAAATCTTACAAAACATATTAATGCCATAATTTCGTTGAAAGATATGTGACTGCTTTTTGATGTTGGCATACTTTTGAAAAACACACCTCAGAGCGCAAGATACTATAAAAAAGGCACAAGAAATTGACGAATATATTGCCGTTATTGTTATCGATGAAAATATAAGTATTAATATTGATTTCCTTTCCATATGAATTTTCTGATTCCGATAAATCATTCTTCTTTATTTTGTTCCTACTTGTGCAACAATTAATGAAATTGTCATTTATACCAGCAACCGCATCCATTTCATATTTATTTATTATACAGTCGTCTAATTCGTTAAAGCAATGAGGGAGGTGCCACTGCAAGGTTTGAATCTCTTGGACTAGAGATCTCATCGCAGTTTGTAAACTACCCAAAAACAGATCGTTTTACGAGAACATTCTAATCGCTGTAATTATTCGCTTCCCAGCGATGGCAAATTCGATACCTGGTCAATTTAATGTGGAAGATATATTTACCTACCTTACTACGGTGGTAAGATGCGAAACACGGTCTTTTGAGCTGCCTATATGCATAGATATAGACCAACAACAAAAATTGCCCCGCAATTGTACTACTACCGTGTTTCTACTTTCGCCACATCTCATACCGGATTACATAAATGCGACAGCGCAAAATATTAGAATCTTGGTTTGGCCTGTGAGTGACACTTTCATCCTATGCGACGATACATTTAAATGCTAAGTTTTATTTTAAATTTTTCTACTTTTGTGACTGCTTTTTAAAATCAATTTAGCTAATTTGAGCTACAAGTGCGAAGAAATTCAATTCAAAATTTAGTAGCAAATGTAGATACTTGTAACATCCTAGTCAGAAGTACCGATCAATTCGTCTGCGTATTGAATATTGCTTCCACAATATTCTGGTAGATTTATAAATCTACCAGAACATTGGAATATTTTTTCTCGCCATAATTTATCTTACGCGTTTATAAACGCGTAAGATAAATTATGGCGAGAAAAAATATCTAGAACGATACAGTGAAGCAACTTTACAGGCAGCAAACTTAGCAATTGATTCGATATAATCGTTGGAAATACGTTAAACCGGGAAGATACAATGCGTTACTTTCCTGGAAATGAAAGACAAAATAGATTCTCTCAGACAACTAAAAGAGAACAGTTTCGTTTTGGAGGCGTTAAAATTAACAAGCCATTCCTTGCCCCAGTTAACAACACATTGAAGGTCATTTTTAGATCAATTTTTAACTAAATGAAGAATTTGAGTATAAAAATATTACCCCGTCTTACAAATTTATACTAAATTATGAGTTTCAGTTTTTAAAAAAAAACTGCCTGACATTTTAACTAAATCAAGAGTTTAAGTTTTTAGAATTAATCTCGCCTCATAAACCTATACTGGACTAAGGCTTTCAGTGTTTAGAAATTTATCTCGCCTTACAAGTTCATACTAAATCAAAGGTTTTAGTCTTAAAAAACTTACTCCGCTTCATATTTACGAACTGAATCGAGGCCCTCCTTCATATTTTTAAACTGAGTCAAAGGATAAATGTGATATTATTTCAATATTTTATTTTGGTTAAATTGAAAAATATTGTATATTAATAAAAAAAATCATCCAAGTTTAATTATGAAATTGTTTTAAATTTTGATTTTTTTTTATATTTTTGTGGAAGCCTTAAATTTCGATTTCTTTCTCTGCCCGTTTATATCAATCAAATATTTGAAATATTTACTGAGGCGACGCGTGGCGACGCCAAAAGTTTAAACTGTCCAATATTCAAAAGTTTACAGTTAAAAGCTTTTTGTTTAAATTCTTTTCTTTTTTGTTTCACTTATAGACGAGAAATAATGGCTTTACAAGCCGAGAATTACGCTTTGGAAAAGCAACTCTATAGCTACCAACAGTCGATCGCTAAGACTAACGCCAAAGGCTCACCTGTGAGCCAAAGCCCAAATGTTTTGGAACGAGAAGAAGAATTCGAAGCAGAGAAGATTCGGGAAGTTGAGAACCACCGAGTTCGTCACTCGGCCACCCCAACACCGACACCGACCCCTACCCCTACACCCACGCCCACGCCCACCCCGACACCCCAGCCTGTCACGCCCTCACCCACAACCCAAACGCAGCAGCAGCAACAGCATCATCATCACCACCAGCAGCAACAACAACAACCTCAGCATCAGTTACAGCAGCCGTCGCCGCCCCCACGCGAGCGCGATAGAGAAAGAGAGAGGGAGAGAGAGAGGGAGAGAGAGCGGGAGAGAGAAAGAGAGAGGGAGAGAGAGAGGGAAAGGGGGGAGCGAGATTACCATCATCACCACTATCACCAACAGAAGCAGCCTGACGACACCGGGCACCGCCACCTTCCCCACCACATGCACCATCAAGACGCACAGCCAGTACACCGCCAAGACCGCCAGGACCGCCAAGACCGCCAGGAGCGTCAGGAGCGTCAGGAGCGCCAGGACCGCCAGGAACGTCAGGATCGCCAGGATCGCCAGGATCGCCAGGATCGGCAGGATCGCCTGGAACAGAAACAATTAATCCAACAACAACAACAACAACAACAGCATTATAGAGAGCAGTATTCTCCCCAGCACTCACCGCAGCACTCACCACACCAATCGCCGCACCAGTCACCACACCACTCACCCCGACATTCACCTCACCATTATGAGAGACGAAATCCAGCCAGGAGACGTCATCATGATGTTTACCGGGAGTACAACTCAAGGCATTAATAAAGCTTTAGAAGGATGGTGTATAAAATGTTATATAGTATTTTTAACGACAATGGAAAGAACGAAAAACCTTTCAGCAAAAATTAGCTCAAATGGAAATGATTTTTCAATACACACACACTCACACACATACACACACACACACACAGACACGCACACACGCACTTATATATATTCTTTTATTCTTGTAGGAAACAAAATATAATGAAAGATCTTAAGCGGAAGCTAGGAGGAAGGAAGTGCAAGATTTGCAAAATCTGTAAACTGAATGAAAGAAAGACAGAAATGTAAGAAGAGTAAAAGAAAGGAACTAAAGTGAAGAAAAACAGGGTAAAAGAAAGAAAGCCTTAAAATGAATGAAAAAATAGAAGAATGAAAAACTGAAAGAAACGTGAAACGTATGAATGAACTGGCTTTTTCTTTCAATCGAAAAGTGAAGATCTACCCCAACCCCCACCCAAAAAACGATCTTGTAAAAGAAAAAACAAAATGATTTCAAACTGAATAAAATATCCATTTTTTCTTTTTTTTTTAAGTCAATGATTAAAAAAGAAAAAAATCAGGAAAGTAAAAACAAAAATATTTTTTTTACAATACCGTAATAATAAAAATGAAAAAGTTCAGCATTATTTTACAAATATTAAAAAAAAAGCAAAAAATATTACTTTCTATTTTGAGGATGTGCCGGTTGTACGGTGATTGTTCGACTCTCACCGGGTGCCCCACTCTTGTGGCTATACGTCAGACTAAGTTTAGGTTAATAAATAACTACTTTGGGTGCTTGGTAACAAGCAACTCTCGCAATACGTTGCCAGTGAATTCGAACTTCTTTGTGCACCACTTTACCGTTTGTATTCCTCCTACCAAGCCTTACAACAAATTTAACCTCATCAAATTTATATTTGCAATATTTTATATTTTATACATATATATATATATATATATATATATATATATATATTTAGCACCGCATAAATTAATTTTTAACTTAGTATAAAAATAACGAAAATCAAAAAATCAGCAGTCAATTGCTGAAACCTCCTGACGAATGGACAGAACGATTACAAGAAAGTTCGTCCATGAAACTCCAGAGTCGAGGTGCTGAATATCAATCAGCTAAGCGACAAATTTTATTTGTATCTGTCCCATATATATATATATATATATATATATATATATATATATATATATATATATATGCTCACCTTTATCCACGGTTCCACTTACCTAAATTCAGTTAGCCATGGTTAACACTGTGTATGAACTTTTTATTTGTGAAAGAACTGCACTTCAAGAATTTATTAGTTACGTGAACCACTTTCTTAACCTACAACAACACCTTAGGATATAATCAGTTCATAACTTTTACTTAACAAGGATCCCAAAGAGCAAAAATTCAGATACATCAAAGAAAATCTGTAAAGTTCTTTAATGAAAAGATCAAAGTTCATGACTTAATAACGAAAGAACAAATCCTATGCTAAGACTGCTAAGATCTACGATTAGAATGAATCATATATTGTTACATATTATTATCATCATTTTGTTATTAATTATAGTTCAGTGCAAATAAAGAATCACCCGGGAGAAATGTTTATAAACTATATTTGGTACCGTCTATATTTGGTACCGTCTATATTTGATACCGTTTAACA